GACCAAATTCCCTATTAAAACATAAATAATTCCCTTTGAGCTAAATTGACCTGTTTCCCTTACAAAGCTAATTTACCGATATAGGCTAATCTTACGTGAGACACTGTAAGCAGGGCTGTTTTTGACCATTTCAAATGGAAAGAGCCTATCCTGGTTGACCATTTCTCTCTTCCCATCATTCTCTCCCCAATCACTACAAAACAAATCCCATTCTGTATTCACACCATGGTAAAATATGCACTTAGTTATGGTTCCACTGTAAATTTATTTTGGTGTTCTTAAAATATAACCAATATCTAGGCAAGTATTAAACAAACAAAAAAAATAGTACATACATACATAATGCTTATAAAACATTGCTTTATTGAAATTGACATTTTTTCCCCATTTTTTTAGTTTACTTTTGCAAAATAATTTTTTATATTATTTTAGTAATAATAATAATGCAAAACATTATTACAACATTAACACAACATTTCGTGATCAGTACAATTTCTCAACTCATCTGCCATTATCAGCGGTTGCATTAACCTGTTTGTGCATTGTTCATAAACTGTGAGACAGAGGCGTAAGGGACTCACCAGCAGGCACGCACTTCTCTCTCTGCTGCAGTTTCCAGCCGTACGCACACGAGCACTCGTACGACTGATAGCCCGGCTTACAAAACTGGCTGCACCCTTTGCTCTTATCGATTACACATACCGTTTGATCTAGATGTGAAAAAAAAAAAAATCAGTGAGAACAACAACAAACTTCATTCAGCATCATGTAACAAAGACAATTTAGAAATACTAAAATTTCTTATCCAGTGGTGAACTTTTTAGAGTTTCAAGCCCTATTTAGCAGGTCAAACTAAATGTTAAGTGTTGTATGTCATAATTTTGTTGAAAGGGTCATGCAATGCATTTTCAGATCTTTCTGATTCACTTTACTGCACTGAATTTATGCTCTTGTGACTAACATGACAGGCATGAGTTGTTGACAGACCTCAGCATCATTATTCATTACATTTATTTACAGGCACCTTTCACGACACTCAGTTCACCTTAAAAGTCATCCTAAGAATATTAATATAACAACAATAAACAGCATACCGTAACATGCATTTAGACACTGAGGAATAAAATATTGCTTAGTACATGTGAAACCATAAATATGATGTCCAAGGGAAAGGAATTACACAAATGAAGGGCAACAAGACTTTAACAAGTATAGATGGAAAAACTATAGACAGGTCAATAGTCACTGAGAAGCTATCAGATTTAGCCTAAGTAGATATTGTACCTACTAGTAAGATTTCAGTTATACCACTATTGAGTTAGTGGTAAATTAGAGGATAGCCAGTTTTTAATTCCAGCTAACAGCTGAACAGTAAAGGTGGAGGGAAGACATAGAAGATAGATAAAGCTGAGCATCATCAGCATATCAGTGGAAATGAATGTCGTGCTTCCTAAAAATATGTTCAAGGGGCAATAGATAAATAGTAAATAAAAGAGGGCCCAAAACTGAGCCTTGGGGAACACCAGTGGTTAAACTAAGACAGACCTGTGCCCATTACTCCAAGGGAGTCCAGCTTGTCTAGGAGGATGTTAAACGAGATTGTATCAAAGGCCGTACTTAGAATGAGCACCGGTTAGTTCTCACCACAGTTTAAAGGGGTCATATGATGTTGCTAAAAAGAACATTATTTGGTGTATTTGGTGTAATGAAATGTGTTTTTTTAACCTTAAACTGCATAAACACATTATTTTCCACATACTGTACATTATTGTTTCTCCTCTATGCCCCGCCTTTCTGAAACGCGTCGATTTTTACAAAGCTCATCGTTCTGAAAAGCGAGTTGTGCTGTGATTGGCCAGCTATCCAGTGCGTTGTGATTGGCCGAATACCCCAAGCGTGTGACGGAAATGTTACGCCCCTTACCATACTGTGATGATGCCCTGTCAGGCCGGAGCGATGATTCAAAAACATGAAAACCCATTATAAACGAGGCATTCGTTGCATCCAGTGGGGACATTCCCGAAGATTCGACGAAGGAGCGTCCGGAGGGCTTGCGGCAACCACATGTGACGACCTCCTTGATTTACATGTTAAGGGATGTGTAGAGGGAAATCACAACTGGGGCGATTACAAATTCTGGCGTTTCAGAAGGGTAGAAAGCCTAATTCTGGACATTTTAATTTTCTGTTTCTTGATCCCTTTAATGTGTACTTTTTAAATAAGAGCTCAATCAAGATGAGGGTTCAGTTACATACCTGTCTCACAGTGGATTCCTGAAAAGCCTGATTTACAAATGCAGTCAAAGCCCCCCACACTATCTGAACACATGGCTCCATTTTTGCATGGCTGCTCAGCACACTGGTCACCATCTAGCATGTAAAACAACATCAGAGATGACGCATGTCACACACTTAAAACATTATACGTCTATAAATGTATCAAATCAGAATACACCGTATCTTGAGCATTAGTACATGATTCTCTGGAAGGCTTGATTATGATTGGTCAATCGTAGCAATCCCATGTACAATACTGTTTATGATGACCGCTATATAACTATATAATCAACTGCTTTCCCATGAAATCCAACATACTTCTTAACTGTTGTTAGTTTCATCTAATAACCAGCTGACCTGGACATGGAATAGGTCCAATGTATTACATATATTTCTTTAGTTTCTTTAATCAATTTGATTGCATTAGGGCAACAAGTGGAACAACTGATTCCACTTGTCTATATTCATCTCATTGAGGTACCTGAAATGCAGGGTTTCCCCAACTCCAGTCCATTCAACACACTAAACAGCTGTTGAGTTGAACCAGGTGGTTTAATTAGTCTAACACATCTAACACATTCTGGTAGGTGGGTCTCCAGGACTGGAGACATCTGGAAAGACAGTTGACACCTGACTTTCTCACATGACCATCATGCATATGCAACATTCACAACTTACCAATGTAGACAGACCAGAAGATATCCTTTAAAGAAACAAAAACACAATCCATTTAAGTCTGTACATAATTACGAGTGCAACTGTGAATATTAGTAGTAATATTAAATGTGTAGACTAGAAGTGTGTGAAATTCACACAAATGACTTCTCAATTTTTTTGATAATGATAATAATGAAATATACGGAGCGTGTGTTTTGTGCTGGTATCTTGGATGGCTTAGGCTTAGGATTTTGTTTAGGTAGATCTTCATATTCTGTGCAGTGGTTAGTTCTCAGCCGTGACAGAAATTAACTTTTCCACTACAAGGCAATATTTGCATCCTTAAACTGAATTTATTTTAAAAACGTGAAATGATACTTTTTTTTTTAAGCTATATTTATGGTCTTTTTATGCCTTTATTGTGAGAGGACAGTAGAGAGCTGACAGGAATGCACTGGGAGGAGAGAAGGGAGCAGGATTGGCAAAGGACCTCGAGGCGGGATTCGAACTCGGGTCACCGTGAGCGCAGTTGCGCTATATGTCGACACACTAACCACAAGGCTATGGGCGCCGGCGTGAAATGATACTTTATAAGAAAACTGCTGAGTCATTGAATCATTCATTCAAACGATTCATTCAGTAACGAAGCACCACTATGGGCCTATTTACACCTAGTCACTTCATGCGTTTTCTCTGATCGGATATCTATCTGCTTTGATAAAACGTTTCCATTTACACTTGGCCGCATAAATGCGTCTTCACAAAACGGATATAAATCCGGTCTTCAATTCCCGTGCTATCTGCAAATTTAACGGAGTTCACGTTAACGAAAGCAACAGATAAGTGCTGCATTTTATTCATTATCAGCTAATTTCGAGATCAAAGACCGCAACAGGAGAGAGTGCGACATCAGCACTGGAAAGATAGATTAGTCTCACTACCTTTAATGAAGATGATTGTGTGTTGAGCGTCTGCGACTTACTTTCAGTTTCCTTTGTGGCAGTTTGCGTGTCGGCTTGCTGAAGAGATACTCGGCTACTCATCCGCGGCGATACGTCACGTGTTGCATTAGCGCAGCCATATCTGACTATAACATGCCATATAGCCTATAAAACGCTCTCACACGTTTATTATTTTTATATTTTGGGAGGAGTAAAATTTGCATATGTGGTTTCAACAACCAGATGCATTCACACTTGTCCAGTTTCATCCAGACCACCTCCTTCCTAAAGTGGTTTGAGCGATCAGATTTAAATGCGTCTCGAATGCGTCTCGGAGGGCATTTACACCTGGTCTTTTCACGATCGGATAGCTATCCGATCAGACAAAAACGCATGAAGTGACCAGGTGTAAACAGGCCAACAGGCCACTTCTGCTGTGGTCAACAAAATTTTTTTGTTGGCAAAATATTAACAGAATTGCGTCTCAAAATTGAACTCAAATTGTTAACTTACTGTTTTTTTATATAAAATCAAAGACATTGCACAAAGCAAGCAAAAACACCTTGATAGTGCAAAAGTAAATGACATACTCAATGTCAGCTTGCACGTCGTTGCACAACCAATAATTACAATTTCATCACAAACAATAAATATCACACACCCCTAGTTTAGACTGGTGAATTCAGGTTAAGATTCAGACTCACTGTGCGATAATTATCCTGGAAGACTTCTCTTGCTTCTTCGTAATCACAAACTTCCTCTAAACACTCCCTCTCGAGGTTGGCAGGGAGTTTAGTCTCTTCATCACCCGCGTTGCTTCTCTTCTGGCGGGAAATTAAACTAAGTGCATCCCACTTTTCCAGGAACACGGGAGCTGAGGTGTGTAGGGACACAGAAATTGTGAAAATGATTTTATACGGTGTGAACGGCAGGTGAGAAATAGATAAAAGTGATATTTCAATTGAAACATTCAAACATGATTTCTGGTTATGGCCACCAGAAAAGACGTGCACATGGCGAGAATTCACGGCTACTCATATTTGATGTGGAGGATGGAAAAACATTTAGATTGTCAGTTGTGGTGCGAGTGAGGCACAGATGGATAGCAGATTAATGTCAAATAATATTCGCTGTTTAATTTATTTAAAGGTGGGGTAAGCGATTTTTCAAAAACGCTTTAGAAAACTGATTCGGGCCGAATAGCAAAACAAACTTGTAGTCAATCAGCAGTAAGGGGCGTGTCTACTCATGATGTGGAGGAGAGAGCTTTCAGTGCACAGGACGGACATTAGCCGAGCCGAGCGACAGAAAGATAGAGATGGCGGATAAAAAACAAAAGAGGAAAACGTCTGCGGAACAAAAGAAGGCTTAAGGCAAGAAGTAGGACCCGTGTAAATATGGGATCAGCTTTCCAGCGCTGGAGAGAACTCAAGGAGCGGAGGCCTGCGATCGGACGCCGAGGTTGCTTTGCTTCTTCTCGATAGTTGAGTAACACAGTGTATGCGCTGCAACAGCTAAAGTCTGTCTAGTACACTGGACGCGACAAAGCGACTGTTGAAAATCATTTGAAATTTGTGTCAATACGTCATGAATAGAACGCAGCAGCAGTTTTCTGTCGGGGATTTGTCGTGTCGCGCCGCATCCAGTGTAGACCATAGATAAGTATATATATCTGGTGTAGACAGCATCACTGATTATAATGAGTTCTATAGTATTTTGTCGCGCCGCTCACGTCCGGTGTAGACACGGTTTTGCTTTGTTTCACAGAACTAATCGTTGCCTGGGTTGCGTACGTATATGTGGGGCGGAGCTATCAAAATAGGGGCGAGACCCTTTTGGGGTAGGGGCGTGTTTGTTTTGGTGATTTCAAATATCAACATTGGCTACCAGAAATCTCTTACCCCACCTTTAACTTAATTATTTTTAAATGCAGAAAAGATGTAAGTTGCAGATGATTAAAATGACTAAATCGCTTTAGAGGGGAGATCACTTTAACACACAGACTAAAAAATAACCTGCAGCAACAGTGTAAAAGTAGCCCAATTCCGATGTAAAGCCACAGACTTGGCAAAACTGACTAGCCATAGTGCTGTCAGAATAATAATAAAAAAAAACACTACGATGTATTAATGATTATTTATAGGAAAAACCAGGTTCTCATTGGACTTCGTTTTAACACACAGGGCAACACAAGAGGCTTCACAGACTGCAGTCTGGTTTGAGAAGCCAGACACGTTAAATTTAAAAACGGCAGTAAGAAAAATTGAGACATTCTGAAAAAAATAATAAAAATATATTGCAATATCTTAAATTCCGCTAACGTTAAAAGTTCAGCTTATAAAGACAGCAAGGCAATTTCACTCACATCTCACAAGAGTGACAGCTGTTAGGTACTGCTTTCAAATGCTGTATGTTTCTGAGTGCTCTGTAAAGAGCATCAAAGGTTTCTGTTTACATCGTGTTCAACAGCTTTGAGCACCGTAGCCAATCACAGACAGTGAGCGCTGAACACAATGACCAATCAGAGGCGTTTAAGTTAGTCAGTAAACACCTGTGAATCCTTGCGTAACGAATAACAGCCAGTAAACACAATGTAAAGTGTAGTGCAGTGTAGACATCTTCATAATCCATGACTGACAGCCTCGGTGATTATAAAAGTAGCATTCTTTGCTCACTTTTGTTTGTAATTTAAATACAAGTTACACTTTTCCTTCTGCTAACAACACACTGCAATGCTTCTGGACTGACAACTGTAATTAAATATAGGTTTTTCCTCGAGTCCCTCAAATCATTGTCCACTTTGTTATTGTGACTACTTGCGCTTTAACTTAAAATCTGGCAAAATGAAATAACAATTAAATCACAAAGCTGACATCACTTCCTTGGAGGATGAATGAGATCCTCTGTTATTTCAACCGTCTCTTATTTATTTATTTATTTTTACAACCTGAAATGGTCAACCTCAATATGTACATTCTGCTATGGGATATATGAAAAGTCAATAGAAAGTAATATTTTTAAAATTAAATGTTAAAAAATATACAATTCTTTATTCAAATTCAGGCCTTAACAGTTAACCTGTATTACTTGTATTTTGTAAACCAATCACATTATAGCCTTGATGTCACCGAATCACTTTCTTAGTTTTACGACAATGAGTCACTGTTTGCAAGTAAAGAAATTAAACATTACCGTAAACTGAATACTACCCGTCACAAAATTATCTGTGGCTAAATAAACGTGTTTTTTTTCTAATTCTGAGGCTCTCAGAGGGCTCTGCCCTGAATTTGGCAACATTACAAATAAAATGGCGCAGTTCTTAATGACACCGCAAATCAAAATAGCACACGGTCTCACTATGATAATGTATCAGTTGGGCAGAATTATATGAGACAATATTTCAGAGCAAATATAATATGTACATATGCATATTTTATAAAACAACAAAAACAATCCGCAGCAACAGTAGCCACATTCCGCGGGATAAAGGCGGACTTGGCAACCCTAGCATGGGTTTGATCACGTGGTGCCTGTTACTTTTCTCACCGCTTGTCTTGACGATGCGCATTTTATTTAAACGTTTTATAAGAGCTCTAGGAGATTTTCATTGGTGTGTCAAGCTCTCGTTTAATTAAAATGCATGGTTGTACGCTGAACTTGCCAAAAGTCTGACAAAAACGGCCGCTGGAGAAACGAATACGAAGGTTTATCAACCACAAGAAGAAGAAAAAAAAGACTCCAAAAGATTTAAATGTCGAAAAATGCATTACCTGTTCCTTTGTGCAACCCAGCGGTCACAAAGCCAAACAAAACTGCGAGAGAAAACAATCCTCCGATGCAAGCCATGATGACGGTCGACGCCTCTGCCTGAGAAATACAGGATCATTTAACTTCATTCAACTGTTAAACCCACGCTTGTCCTAAATGTTCAGTTTCCAGTTAGAATCAACATCGCAATAATAAGCAGCGGTGGGTTTTAACCTTAAAATGCAATGTAGGTTCTCTATTGTTTATTTATTATAGGCTATTGCATAACGGAGACTCACCCGCTTAGCTTCTGGCGCAGATCTGAGCTCTTCACTGAGGAAAAGATAATATTTGATATTAACTTGAGCTATAATCTGCTGTCACATCTACTGAGGTGAAATAGTCTGTGTCAGACTGATATCATAACATCTATTGTTGTTGTTTTGTACAAGAGTGTGCCGTCCTGCGTTTGTGTGTCTAACCACACGAGGGAGCAAACGGACTAACGCTAGCATTTGTAGCTTTCCCTCAGAACAATTAAAGGGGTCATATGATGTTGCTAAAAAGAACATTATTTTGTGTATTTGGTGTAATGAAATGTGTTTATGCGGTTTGTTGCCGACTAATTTTCTTGGGAAGTTGCTAAAGGAAGGTCGATTTGTTGCTAAATTATGCAAAATTGTGTCACTCTATCAAATCTCAGCAAAAAAAAAATATTTTGTTAATTTCGATTCGTTCGTTAAATAACATTAATGCATAATATAAAAATATAAATAACTGTATTTTTAAATACAATATTGAATTATTGAACACTTACACGTTGTTGAACAATTACAATTTAAGTTTTTTTATTAACATGTTTTATTTTTTTATTAGCTTTTTTTTTTTACGTTTTTAATTAAACTAGTAAAACGACACATTCTAAACAACACTGTTTTAAGCAGTGTGTTAGTAGTTTGTTAGTATGCTACACTACAGACACAGAAAAGTCTGAAAAAAATAGTCTACTATATGAAGGAATTTTCCGTATTGATTTTTCACAGGTTTTTTTACCTGCATTTTTAATTATGCATTGCATTTAGTGTTTTCGGGTTACAGGGTCTCATTTATAAACATTGCGTATGCACAAAATGGGCATAGAAATACGCGTACGCAATTTTCCACGCACATAATGTGATTTATAAAAAATAAACTTGCCATAAATATGTACGCAGTGTACGGACATTCTAGACCATGCGTACGAACTCTTTTTCCTGGAGTGAGAAAAGTAATGAAGTAAACAATGATTTTAAACTCTGTTTTCATGTCGATATACACATTTACATTAAATACTCCACTCGCATTAATGGAGATAAACACTGAAATTACATAATTTTACAAACAACATAATTACAATGTTATTAACAATAAACATAATTTTCCTGTGGCATGCTATGTTTTAAAGACGGGAGGTGATGACAGGAGTGCTATAAGTGCACAGTAGACCTAATTCATCTTTAAACTAAACTGCAGATCTCATGTTATGAGAAATATTTTAGCGAGAACAACGATCAATGGTGTGCACTTCGATATTATGGCGGACACTGCTGGAGTAGGTGGTCGAACGGTTCATTTTCTGGTTTGAATAGGTCGAATGATAATAGCTTTAGAAGCCCCAGAAGATATGTCAGCTTATAGCACAAACGCGCACGCTCCTGAAACACACACAAAAAACATTATAAAACGGAGAGTTCCGGTGCTTGATTCTGATTGGTTGAGCCGCGTTCGACGCTGTTGTAAATTACTCTACATACACCTTTGTTTACTTCTGTGTGTTGCTCGGCAACCACTTTGTTGGAACCACAACTGATTCTGAGGAACTACATTGTTTGGTGGAAGAATACTGTTTTTATTAATATCATTACACTTTATTTGCTCTGTTTTATTTTGTGAAACCTTACTACGTATATGGAATAACCGTTTTATAAAAGCAATAAGCCTCGTGAAGCTGTGGTTTACAGTGAATTTAAAACAGCTAAGGGGGGTTACTCCGTTTCGCGTCGTACCTAACAACGCCCCTTGGCTGTTATAAATTCACCGTAAACCATGGCTTCACGGGGCTTATTGCTTTAATAAACCTTGAGATTCCACAGAGAAGAATATGAGGCTGATTTGATTATTCCCTATATTGTTAAAATATTTTAAGATATTTTATTAGTTTATATATTAAATTAATTTTTGAAAATTTCATTATTCATCCTTTTTAAATAACAATAACATGTTTTTAAATAAATATTCAAAATATATATTTTTTAAATAATTCGAAAATAAGAACACTTTTAAAAAATATTTTATTTTAAAAAAAATTTATATTTCTTTAATTATTTATTCAACAACAACAGCTGCATAAACAATACTTTTTGCTTTTTAAAAAAGTATTTATTCCCCCTTATTTTCAATAAAAACAAATATAACAACATTATAAGAAATTAAAATAAAAGAAAATAGTTAAATAATAATAATTTTATGTTCAAGGATATTTTATTTCATTTTTAAATGACCTATTATCCCTTATTTTTAATAACAACAAAACACTTAAAATATTCGATTGAATTTTTTTGTTAAGTTTTATTAGATTTTTAAAAAATGTTTGTTATAAAAAAGAGAAAAGTGTAAGATGTGTGTGTGACCGCTCACCTTCGGCGGGTTGGCGCGCAGCACGACCTGAGTGATGGATGCGGGGGGCAGGATGGGGTTAAAGGGCGCGATCTCTGTACCAGATGGAGGCTGAAGCTTCACTCGCATAGACTGACACAAACACAAGACCGTACGGGGTCAAAGGTCAAGGTACGGCAGAGGTCATATTTAAAGTGCAACTTGTGAATCTTCAGAAAGTCATCAAACATGCTTCAAGAAATCTGTGGTTGGCATTTTATATGTTGTAGTAAAATGATCATACTGGTAAGCTGCAGGATAACTTAAAATTATGGATATCTGGGTGAATCTCACAGAACTTTTTTGAGACACATTTCACCAAAAAAATAAAGAAAAGAAAAGAAAAGAAAAGAAAAAAAATATTTATTGTAACTGTCTTATATAATATGAATAATAAAATATCACAATAATTAACATAATAAAATATATAATAATATACATACATATTTTTTATGATAATATTGTATTAATTATAAGATTATTGTATTAATTTATTTTACATTAATTTTATATATATATTTATACTTTTTTCATAAAGAAACTTTAAGTCCGTGATATATCCATAGGATAATTCAGATTTTAATTCATTTTAAAAACAAAGAAATATGAAGAAACATTATATTCTTACATAATTTATTTATATATATATATATATATATATATATATATATATATACATATACAAGTAATATGGATATCTGGGTGAATCTCACAGAACTTTTTTGAGACACATTTCACCAAAAAAATAAAGAAAAGAAAAGAAAAGAAAAGAAAAAAAATATTTATTGTAACTGTCTTATATAATATGAATAATAAAATATCACAATAATTAACATAATAAAATATATAATAATATACATACATATTTTTTATGATAATATTGTATTAATTATAAGATTATTGTATTAATTTTTATTACATTAATTTTATATATATATTTATACTTTTTTCATAAAGAAACTTTAAGTCCGTGATATATCCATAGGATAATTCAGATTTTAATTCATTTTAAAAACAAAAATAAATGATAAATTATGTAAGAATATAATGTCATATTTCTTTGTAATTATTATAATAATACTTCAATAATCAAAAATCAAGCCTATAATTTAGACAATAATATATGATCATTTGAATTTGTTATAATTTTTAGAGTTGTAAATTTATTATTATTTGTTATTATATGTATTACATGTATTGTTTTCCCTCCAATTTTACTTCACGTCGGCGTAATCAGTTCATGACTTGAAAATCATTTCAGGTGATAAGATAAATCATAATTGGTTCTGAAAACCGTTCGGACTGCTGCTAAAGGAGCATCATAACATGAATCTCTGCATGTTCTATTACATATAAACTAATACAATAAATAGTAAAGTCATGAAAATTATGAAATTATATGGCTTGGAGTAAGAATTTTAGATGAATATTATTAATTTTTAATCATATTTAATGAACATTGTTTCCATAGTGTATACACCTCTTAATAATAATACAAATATTTGCATTGTTTTACTATTATGAATAATAATTAGAAGAATACCAACAAAAACTTTATACTTTAAGCTTATAATTTATTATTAATTATAACTATTTAATAAAAATTGCTTTCAAATGTATTCAGATACTTTTTAACAATAATAACAATAGTTCTATTTATTACTTTAATATTATTAATACTAATTATAATAATAACAGTTTTTAAAACATAATTATTATTTTATTTATAATAATACTATCAACTATAATTATAACTTCATTTACTGGACAACTTTTTATATATGTTTTTAATATTATAATGTTATCATTATATATTATTGTCATTTTTAATAAAACAATATGATTATAAATATATATATATATATATTAGTATTACTATTATAATAATATATTTATTTACTGAACAAAAGAGTCTTTTATCATATTCCTGTTGCCATTTTATAAAACACAAGAAGTTTTGCTTTACAGTAACTTGACCACAATCATATACCCCATGTAAATGTATACTATATATATATAACTTTATTATATTTTACTTATTATAATTCTTCATTAACAATTATTCAGTTATTTGTAATGTTAAATGTAAAAAAAATTTTTTTTAATAATAATAACAATTGAAAGTAGAACTGCACTAGCATAGCCAGAAATCACAATGTGGGTGGGCCTAGCCAAAATGCATCTGTTATCAAAATAGGCCAACACAACTACGCCTGCTTGAATACACATCACCGTTTAATCAGAGCATAAGCCTGTATGTCATCATAAGAACATAACGATAAGAACAGCATGAGCACGGCGGCCACTGGAGTTATTGTCCTCCGTTTCAGTAGCCATTTTGAACGCGGTGCGTCGGAGTTTGTCACAGCGCTCATACAGCTCCTGGACACACACGTCAGGTCACATGTGAGCACCGTTGTCATGGTTACATCATCCTAATTATACAAGTTCTAACAGTACAGACAGGAGACGGCTGTAATCAATCTATAAAGATAATGTCAACAAGAAGTTCACACTTTTTTAACTTCTATAATGTGACGTGTACAGTAAAAATGACATAAGATATTCTCAATAACGAACAACCGATTAATTGCGCAAGTTTGGGGCTGGTAACCAAAAGTTGCAGGTTTGATTTCAGTCGTTTAGTTTCAGTTTCATGCCATTCTGAACTCAACCAAATGTCATAATTACCGTAATTTCGGAAGACGTTCTACTCTGAGCTGTTCACATCCTCAGACTCGGAAGTGTGCTTGTAATCCCGGTATGGCATGAACGCAGCATAATTCCACCAGACCTGGGGTCTCGTTTTTATAA